AGTGATCCCAATAATCCTTCTTACCACACCAGTAACCATAGAAACTGTCAAAACCTCTGTGAACTGGAGTGTATTCTTGATTGAAGAACCCAAGATGCCACTAAATAATACAGAAATTATAATTTTTTTTTGTCATTCTTAAGTTTTTTGTCTTTCATGTGTGATAAAATGCATGCCACATAAGTGTAAATCTAATAAGCTCCTAATAAGATTTAGATATCAACCAACTAAGAATTCAGTGAGGAGGAATAAACAATTTAAGATTATTTCCTTTCTGGCATTGTGTTCAAATCCCAGTAGTGAATTCTTCAGTTGAAAACAAAATCTTATTTGATTAAGTTAAGAATTGTTTCAAGCTTTTTTGATGCACATTTTACCTTGCCAACTCCATGAGTAACATAGCCCAATTTCTTCAAGTATTGAGGTAAAAGAGTCTCATCTAGGCCCAGTCCATAAGGCTGAGATGCCAAKATTACACTATGCTGCATGCCTATATTTCAACACAGACAAAGCAATGTACAGTTCAAGCAACTAAGTAGCAAATACACCAAAATACTCACCAGTATGTATTGGGTATTTGCCAGTCATTATAGCACTACGTGTCGGCGTGCATATGTGCTGTACGTAGTAGTTATTGAGTATTACACCATTATTAGCCAAGTCGTCAATGACAGGTGTTGGTATTTGAGGCGAGCCATGAAAGCTGACGTCATTGAAGCCCTAAGTAATGTATTGACACATGTCAATCATGTTTGTTTATAGAGGAATGAGTAAATGACAGGTTGAGGGAGGGGATAGAAAACTAATTACCAAGGGGGAGAGAGAAGTGGAAGGTCTGGAGGGGATGGAAATGATCAAAATGACCTCAACAAAGTCTAAAAGCACAGTATCGTTTACTATGTAAGGAAAATATCAAGATCAATAAAATAAGTCCTTTGTACCAAAAGCAACATCAGCTTCAAATTCCAGACAACCGGTTGTCAAAACTTACCAAATCGTCAGCTAGTATGAATACAATATTAGGCTTTTCATCACCTACTGTTCCACAGATGTGTACAGCAAGTGCAATAACAAGATAATTCAAAGACTTCATGGCTGCTGCACGATTAGAAACCTGAAGAAAACATATTGGATGGGATTTAAAATTAGGTAGGTAAGTTGTTGTGATAATTTTAACACATTTGAGGGAAGTCGTGTATGCTGATTGGTCCTATTTTATCTCGTATTGATTTAAAGGGATTGAAACTTGTGGCAACTGAAAATGCTTCCAAACATCTASAAATGATTTGCAATTTTTTGCATATCTTTATAAGCTTAACTTATCTCAAAACAAAAGGAAAAAATCCCAAGGCCGGGGTAATCTTAGAACTTACTAAGTATATGTGGTTAAAAAAATCAAATTGCACGATTTTTCTTTTCTACAATAAAACTCAAACCAGTGCGCATTTTGCAATTTCTACATAGGGGTATTACTTTACTTAACGAAATACAGTAAGAGGGTGCAATCTTGACAGGCCTCGTGACACTTCAAAAACAGTGTTGAATTTATCGCAAAATTCTGAACTATTATATAAAACAGCAGATTTACCTTGCTTTGCTGGTCTTGTGTGTCAAAAACTATTCCAAAAGCTCTATGTCATAACTTATGTAAAGTTTCTTTGCTGTTCTGGCTGCTTTGATAAACAAAGGACCTCATCTCGTGATTGTCAGTTCAACGTTCGACCCAGTACCTTCACTTATGATTAATCCACAGGTATCCCATATAGAGACAAAGCTCACAAAATTGGAAATTTAGGGTGTTTTTCTTTAATTTAAAATTTGCCACATCAGGGGGGGATCCAGCTGGTGGGTGCAGGGGGGTGCGCACCCCCTCCTGAGACCTTTATCCTTCAATACTTTCCTTATTTTGTATTTCATGGTAATTTTTGTCGGGGTGCACCCCTCCTGAGCCCCGCACCCCTCCCTGAGGTAAATCCTGGATCCGCCCCTGCACGTGAACTTTAAACTCAAGTTATGACGACAGTTCTTAAAGTTTAAGACACCTTTATTCATACTTATTTCAACTCAAAATTAAAAGCGTCAATAGGAAAGCACTCCCGGAGAGGCCATGGGATAGGGATGGTATACAAATTCACATCAGACACAGTGCTACAGTCACATGGGAACTCAGAGTTTAAAATAATTATTGCATAACACGAAATAAAGGCAATATATTTTATTATCGTTTTTTAATAAAATAATATAAACTTAGCGATGTGAACACAGCCTCGTCGCTTTGAGCTCAATTACCAGTYGAAAATTAATGCTTGATAAAACTCAAATACATATGATTTCTTAACTTGAACAGAAAAGATGAAAAAAACAATAAAAATGCATGATCTGATACTTGGTAAGTGTACATAGGAAAAAATGTAAAATTACGTGCCACTAGAAGTGTGAAATAATATAAAAATGTTTTGTTTTTTGGTTTTTGAAAACAACTCCATCATGTCTGTATTTAAGACAGAAGTATTGTATATTTTTTCTTGCTACTGTAAAGTTCAGTAAGTTGTGCATTGTTTACATTAAAATTCATTTATTCTCCCAGACAATGTTTTGCTCCCCCCCGACCGATTAACAAAATTTATGAAGTTACTCGGGAGGTGACGTAAGGTCTGGGGGGTGGAGGTTGGAAGTCAACTCGTTGTTGCGATGTTAAGTTGTTCAACCTSTCTTGGTACTGCTGACTCGGTGGACTAAAGTCTACTGATGGCATGACTCGTATAGTACCGCCATGGAGTTGTTTGGAGCTTGCATCCTAGCAGAAAATACAAGTATATTACAAAAGTGTGGATTGGATAAAAACTTACAACACCAATATTATGCAAACTCTGATTGGATGAAAGTTGAAGATAAAAAAGAACTGGCTTTGAAGAAAAAATTCTAAAAAGAATTAATATAAAGTGTAATAATAAGTTACCTTATCATTGGGAAGAGAGGATCCAGCAAATCGACGCAGTGGCGCTCCCCCAGTACGACTAGCACCAGCAGGATCAGGTCGGGTGGTCTGGGACCGAGCTTGAGGATTGACAGTCATTCCCTCATTGCCACCTATCTTGACTCTACTCTGGACCGCATGGGGGTGGAGTGGGTCRTTTGGCACCCTTGAGAATGACTTGTTTTCGATCTGCCTTGGGGGRAGGTCTGGATCTTTTGACCTGGTGATGTGAAAAATATCMCTGAGAAAGAACTATGTCCTTTGAYTTTCATTTTTACAATCATATGGGGAGGGTCTGGGTTTAGAAATAATTCTTATCATCAAGGAAAGACAAGAACATACTGTAGGTTAAGGTCATCAGAAAAAAAAATAGAGCAAACAACAAACCTGGGAGATTTCTTAGGRGAGTTACTATCAATCTGGTCCAGTGCTTTTTCTCGTGGTGAACCAGGTCCAGTGTCACGTGTGGGAATTTGATTTGGAACTCCAAATGGAAACGCTGCAGTCGTCCATGCAACAGCCTGATAAATAATGTGAAAGAAGAATTGGACAATGACTTCACAAACTATGAACTGAAGTCAATAGGCAAAAAAAACATCTTTCTTTTCTTGGGAGAATCTACATAGCACTCAGTTGATGTAATATATTCATAAAGATATAATACAAAACACATAATACAAWAKAACGAGARACAATGGAATACAAWACATTTTATGAATACATTACATCAACTGCGTGCTACATAGGTCACCCCTTCTTTTCTATACCTGTCCATTTGGTTTGCAAAGGATTGTGGTACATTCAGGCCCAGTACCCCATTTATGTTGCTCTTTCCACAGGAAGTCCGAAGGTGGGTTGTGCCTCATGAGGCTACCTGCTGCCCAAACTGTAGTATGAGCCAAMGCCTTGAGYCTTGTTCTTGGTGGAAACCGGAAGACAGTTACTGGTCGACCAGAAACATTCTGTTGTACCATATACCCACCAATCTCCTCATCCTAAGAAAGTACAAATGATCAGTTATAATTATAATAATATTATATATAAATTATGTAATTATAGGACGTTATAATTTGAAGCTGGTCTTCACATCTGTGTTAATTTTCTTACCTTATGTGTTGATGTGTTGAAAAGTCTGACATAATTTCCATCTGGGTTGACTTCCAGGATTCGTACACTTCCAGTATGGCTAAAGGAAAACAATGAGAAAATTATACTTACTAGTAAATGAACTTCACAACACAAAATGTTGCAGAGAGGTTTATAGGAACCCATCCTTTTTCCCCTCCCCTCCCCTCCCCTGGTCCCCTCGAAGGCCTAATACTCAGGTTACATGAATTGTGAAAGCCAAATTATAATATAAATGTGTAACACACCAAAGGGCCAAAAAAAGGTGTACAATAAGAGTTGTAATAAAGTGTGCTTAAGTGCATTTCATGACTTCTTATCAAATTCATTAATAATTCATAAGGTAAACACAATGGAAAATCATTGGCGTGACCGCATCTTTATATGAGTAAGAGATTTGTCCAGATTTGTATAAGACTTTAACTCCAATTTTCTCTTACAAATGATATTTTATCCTGAAGTTTTGCCTTATGTTGGAATTTGATAAGCAATATAAAATATTCGCGCCCGACCTTTATAGGCTATAAAACTGTGCTCGCTTGCAGCTCGCAGTTTTAAATGCCCATTAAGGTCTCCCGCTCATATTTTATATATTACATAAAACCTTTTGAAAAAAGGAATAAACAATTAAAATAAGTCTAATATTAATAGTTATTAATAATTAGTAATAGTATGATCAGGTTTAAAAAAAATGACAGCTCTCTATTTAGTAGGTCTCTTGAGAATTTTATTGAGCATTTAAGTTTATATTCAAATGACTATTCTATTTAATCATTAGGTTACATTTTTCACATCTTCATTTTCATATAATACCATAGAAATATGTATATAACATTTATGTGGAATATTATTATATAATCAATAAATAATATCTTCATAGCCAACACTGCTGGCAATCATAAAATTTATATCTCAGGATAAATATTGTATTATCATATTAAGTACAATCAGAAATAATAAATACATGCCATCATGCAAACTGTAATCACTACTAGAAACTTTAAGGAGATTGTACACTGAAACAGCCAACGTCCGAAAGGGAGAATGACCCATCAACATTCACACTTGGTATATTGCATGTTTTCCTCATCAAACAAAAGAGACGATTTTCACTTATCACATTTATGAAAAAATGACTGAATGACCCCACAGTCTTTTGCATTATGGTAAGAGCAGAGATGTAACTATAAAGAATGTTGATATTTTTTCCAACATTTTCAGTGAGCATGATGCTTAAGCTATCTATTTTTAGTATTCTTTAGCCATTAGAGAACAGTAAGGCTTCTAATAGTTACATGCAGGCTTCATAACCAATGCACAACTACATTAAGTGTCATGATCGATTTGTGTGCATGCAGTAAAAATAGTGAGATGTAGTCAGTGGCAATAAAATTATAATTAAAATTTTTTTTTTTTCAAATGAAAGTTTCAAATAAATTCAACAAAATTGTATACAATCATAATTGGTWAACAATTCTTCTTCACTAATTGAATGTGGTGTTTGTGTCATGAAAGTGCAAAAATATATTTCTGAAATACAAAAACATTTCCTATAAAATCACTAACTCGAGAATCAATATACATCTAATCACTAAAAATTGATATTTCTAATCATCTAATAATATCTATCACTACTAATAATCATAAAAAGCATCTATTTGTAATAATCAATGACCTTTAATACTAAACTACAAAAAGTAACAATAAAAGCATGCATRTTAAAATTGCAATGACAGTGCCAAGCGAACTTTAAGCAATACTAATGCTACATGTTACAGTGTCCTCGCTAGAACCATCTTGAAGCCAACAAGCCCTTTGCTTCAAAGCAAGACAGCAGATCAGCTTGCAATGATAGATACCTCACATTAATAAGTGAGTCTTAGTTGTGAATAAAAGGTATCTATCACTGCAAGCTCAACTCCTGCCTTACTTTCATGCAAAGGCTCGTCTATACCTTTTCAAGATGGCGCCTTGGAACTTTAAAATGCAGTAATTGCCGCATGCTTTATGTGCTACTTTGAACTCTAGAAATCATCAAGTGAAGATTGATAGAAAATCTCTTAGCTGTTTGTCTTTTCTGTTTCTCTTGTGGCTCAGTAGCCCCAGTATACGTAGTTGTCACGCATAGTTATAGTACGCGGAAGAGTACGCAGAAACCGAGACCTCCAAGAGAAACAGAAATAACCACAGTCAGACAGTTTCATTGGCTAACTTTACAAAGATATCATTGGTTAATAGTACATRAATTTTGATTGGCTGAAATGGTGATGATAGATGAATAATTATACTGCAATATTGTTGGTTAACATTAGTTATATTGTGATTGGCTGAGATTCAAATGAGACAAGATTCGGGCAGAGATGACAATTAGCACTGCCTTAATCTCCTTTGGAGTGGCTTGGAATGCCCAGCTATGCAGGCTAATTCTGAAAGCACTGCAATTGGGTTAAATTTAATAATATTTAAGACAATACCCATTAGTTTCAATAATTTTGTTAGTCCATTATAGTTATTGGTTGATTCTTATTATAATAATAGTTATTGGTTAATTCTTATTATAATAATTATTATGATAATGGCTGGAAGTCAAATATATGTGCTCTTGCTGACAGGACAAAACCTGATTATTTTGTCATGGATTACTTTAGTATTTTTTCCCATTTTCTTGTGTATATTATCTATTCTAGAAATCATGATTTTACTAATGAGTGATACATGCTTACCTAGATGTGGGGCTATGGTAGTCCACAAAGTTAGGTACATAGGTCCAGGAGTGGCGATAAGGACTGGATGTTGTGATAGGTTCAGTGGTAGCTATCCTGTTGATTGCAAGTGTGCCTGGAATAGAAATGAAAGGGTAAAGATAGAAAATATTTTATCAACATCTACCTTAAAAATTAGTCATCATCATTATCATCATTATTATCATCATCATCATCATCATAATTGTCATCATTATCATCATCATTATTATCATCATCATCATTATCATCATTATCACCACTATCATCATTATCATCACTATCATCATCGTCATCATCACTATCATCATCATCATCATCATTATTATCATCATTATTGTTATCATTACTATCATCATCATCATCATCATCATCACTATCATCATCATTATTATTATCATCATTATTACTATCATCATGAGTATCATCACTATACCTGTTGTAGTTTTTGGCCTTGTGATTGGTTTATGCACCACCTTGCTGGTACTTGTACTCAATGTAGGTGTTATACCTATAGTACTGGCTGGACGTCTAGGCTCTGTAGTAACTGTTTTAGTCCTTGGTGTCATTGTGTGCCAGGTACGTGAACGCACTGGGGCAAGAGGAGTTTGGTTCTCCATTGCAAGATTAAGTCTGGAAGATTATTGACAATAATGT